ATGTGAGGGGTGGGCCAGGCCCCACAGATTTCTGCACCCACAGCAGGGTGCAGGGCTGCAGCCTGGCTGGACCAGCTCTGGACAAGAGCCGCCCCAGGGGCACAGCAGGCAGAACCGGGCATGGGAGGGGGTGTCGCATTGCCATGGCCGCCAAGGTGAGGTGTGGTGGCGGTAGTGGCGCAGTTGTGCCCATCACTGCTGTAGGGCAGGCAGGGGGGTGCCTCACCTTGGCAGCATGCCACTGCTTCCCACACCAGATCCCACCTGCTGGGCCACAGAGGTGCCTCCTCCCAGTACTCATGCAGCCAGGCTGCAGCCCCGTGCCTCCCTGCTGGCGCAGAAATCTGAGAGGGTATGCACTACTTCCAACCCCCCATAGCTCACCTATGCCTCCCTCATCTCCCCGATGCATTGCCTATGCCCACCCCCAGCCTTTTCCATACACACATCCCTTTCCTCACACACTGGGGGGTGGTGGGCAAGGAGCAGCAGGTTGGGCGCGAGGGGCACTGGTAGGGATAGGGAACTGTGGGTCAGGAGTGAGGGTCACCGCCAAGGCCGGGGGGACTGTGGGTTGGGATTGAGGGGCACTAGATAGGCTGGGGAGAGGGGGGTGGAAGAGAAGGGGGACATTGGCAGGGACGAGACTGTAGGTTGGGAGCAAGGGGCACTAGTATGGGCAGGGGCAGAACACCAGCATATTAGGGCTGCTCAGCACCACAAAGCAGTGGAGGGGGCAGCTGCAGCTAGACCTGCATCCTGATGAGCAAAGGGGGCAAGGGGAACTCTGATTTTCTATGATAAAAAAACCAAAATCAAATGCCAAAAGATATAGGTATTTAGAATTTATTTTATTATAATGATTGAGGTATGGGTAGGCTTCCAAATTGCTTTAAAATTGTAAATGTATCACTAAAGCATTGTGTTCAACTGATACATACACATAGCATGTGTGTGTGTATATGCATTTTATATATTATATAGAGTGGCATTTTGTTTTAATCACAGAAAAACACACACACTTGAGCAGTTTCCGCCCAAGCCGAAGAGGACTCCACATCCATCTCGTGGGGACTCTGGGTACACGGCAGGGTAATAGAAACCCTGTGTGAGATCCAGAGGAGTGTGGCGGCCTGATCCACCGCCCACCTCTTCCCGTCTTCGAACGCAACTTTTATAAGACGTATCTACGATTTCTATTTTGGAGGCTCGTTCACCCAGAGCATCCGGAGCTCTGCACCGTGGAGCCTAGCAACCTCCATGAGACCGTCTGTGTTGTTTGTCTGTAACTGCAACTTAATCAAGCTTTCCAGCCTACACCACTGCCATCTCGGTGTAAGTAAACAATCTTTTAAACTACCGCTATGCGTCCGTGCCTAATTCCAGCTCGAAGGCCTTCCCTCTCCAACCCAGCGTGCCAGGGCTGCTGGCCACAGCCCGCGTGCAGTGCGAAAAGGGCTCAGGTCGCTCCCGGCCTGCACATGTTACACTCCCAAAGCATAGCAAAGCCCTTTACCCCAAGAGTCCTTTAGCCTCTGTACAAATAGGCTTTCTGTCATTAGAAGTGGTAAATAGCTTTATTGTACTAACACCTCTCACAATGTCCTGGAACAGGGGAGACATCAGAAAGTTAGAGACTTAAGGAGATAGTAGTTTGACTTCCAATGGCCACCTCAAGGTGTGGACAACACCCAAATGCAAGCCAAAACAATCTTGATGCAGCTCCAACATAG